CATCAGTATACTTGCATGTATTTGTATGAGCGTGTGTATTAGTATTAATTTATATACATATATATACATCAGTATTTATAGTAGGCGAAGTAGTAGTAGCAGTAGTAGTAGTGGTGTTGGTGGTAGTAGTCGTTTGAAGTAGTAGTAGCAGTAGTAGTAGTAGTAATCGGAGTAGTAGTAGAAGAAGTAGTAGCCGAAGTCATAGTCAGAGTACTCGTACTAGCCGTCGTAGTGCTGGCAGTTGTAGTAGTAGTAGTCGTAATAGTAGTAGCAGTAGTAGTAGTAGTAGTAGCAGCAGTAGTAGTAGTAGTGGTAGTAACAGTAATGGTAGTAGTAGTAGTAGTAGTAGTAGTAGTAGTAGCCGTAGTCGTAGTCGTAGTCGTAGTCGTAGTAGTAGTAGTAGTAGTAGTAGTAGTAGTAGTCGTAGTAGTCGTAGTAGTCGTAGTAGTCGTAGTAGCCGTATTAGTAGTAGTAGTAGTAGTAGTAGTAGTAGTAGTAGTAGTAGTAGTAGTAGTAGTAGTAGTAGCAGAAGGATTAGTAGTAGTAGTAGTAGTAGTAGCAGTAATATGAGTAGGAGCAGGAGTACTAGTAGTAGTGGTGGTAAGCGCTGACATGGTAATCATATTCGGAGGTCGTAGCAATAGTGAGGTCTTCGTGACAGCGGTGCAGGCTCCTGCTGGCCCTTCAGAGGACCCACAGACGCCTCGCAGAAGCCTCGCATAATTCTCTCAGAAGCCTCAGCCGTCTTTCAGAAGCGCCCCAAAAACTTCCGGAAGCCCTTTAGAAGCTTCTCAAAGTATTCGCAAAGGCTTTTTTCCTTCAGAAGCCTCTTAGGAGCCTTTTCAGAAGCCTGTTGGGAAAATGTTCGGAAGCCTCGCAGAAACTTCGCGTAAGCCTTTCAGACGCTTCGCAGAAGTATTTCAGAGGGCTTTTCAGAAGCCTCTACGAAGCTTCTCAGAAGCCTTACGGAAGCCTCGCAGAAGCTCCCAGAAGCCTCGCAGGATCCTCCCAGAAGCTCTCAGAAACTTGTGGAAGCCTCTCAGAAACCGCTTAGAGGCTTTTCAGCTTCGCAGAAGCTCCTCAGAAGCTTCGCAAAAGCCTTTTTCATTATCCTCTCACAAGCCTCTCAGAAGCGCCAAAGAAGCCTTTCAGAAACTTCGCAAAAGCTTTTCGGTAGCCTTCCAGAAGCTCAGAAGCCTTCAGAAGCCTCCTCTAAGCGTCTCAGCAGCCTCTCAGAAACCATGTTCAGAGGCTGTTGTTCGGAAGCATTTTTTCCCAGAGGCCTTTTTTTCAGAAACGCTTCTGCAGCCTCGCGGAAGCCTTTTCGGAAGCCTCGCAGAAGTCTCGCAGAAGCTTCTCAGAAGCTTCGCATACCCGTTTCACAAGCTTCTCATAAGTTTCTCAGAAGCCTTTCAGAAGACCCATAGAAGCTTCTCATAAGCCTCGCAGAAGCCACGCAGAAGTTTCGCAGAAGCCTCGCAGCAACTCTTTCAGAAGCCTTTCAGACGCTTCTCAGAAGCGTCTCAGAAGTTGTTTCTTTTTTTGCATCTCAGAACATTTCCGAAACCTTTACGTACGAGGGACCCCGTGGTTTTACAAGAAGACTGCGAACTTGCTTACCAAAAACAGCGAGTTCGATTCTTGCCTGGCCAGACCTGGTTCAATCGGCCGGGGTTGGACCCACCTGGCTGGGAGAGGTACTGGCTTGCCGGGATTATTGTTAAATTCGGTTCGAACCGGAGCCCCCTCTGAATTGCAAGGGTGGGGTGTTCCGATTTGGTCCACCCCTCCGCAACTGACGACGGCGAGCGCCAGCGCCGTCGGGCAGTGACGACGACGATCGATCCTTAGTAATAGGATGCTATCAAGGCTGGACCGAGCCCTGGTAAGATTCTGTTGGAGGTCGATATGGCTAGAGTTGGTTACAATGACGGGTCGATCGAGCCTTTGTAGGATTCATTTCGTGCCGGATCCAGCTATAATTGGATTATATTGGAGCTGGGCCGAGCCCAGCGAGGATGTTATTGAACATGGGTGCAGCTATACTCGGCTTTATATCAGAGCTTGATCGAGCCTTCAAGGGATTCACTTGCATATTGAGTCAGCTATAGTAGGATTCTGTCGGAGTTGTATTGAGCCAGGCTGCAATGCTAGTAATGTAGGGCCTCACTACAGTAGGATAATATTCGAGCCTGCTCGTGCGCAAGTTTGATTATATTGGGAGGGGGGCCTGCTCGACCCCCCGATGTCCAGGGGTGCCCCCGCCCCTTTCTTTGGAAGTTCTACATGTTTTCTCCCCTGGTTTAAACTTGTCACACGGCAAGGGTCCACGAAACGCGTTGTCTCCAGAGTCGTGACATTTCTCTTCGCGTTGCCTGGCCGTTCGCAGAAGGACGACATCCACGGCGCGCCGTTTTCGAAGAGATATTCGATTGCCACCTTTAACGGCTCATCAGTTGAAGGCCATGCTGCATGACGATCTCAGCGTTCCTTCTCATCA